ATTATGCTATGAGCCTGGGCAAAAAGTCTGGTTATTTAATCCTCGAAAAAAATAGGAATAACTCCTAAATTACAAAGTAATTGGGAAGGTCCTTTTGAAGTCGTTAAAAGAATAAATGATGTAGTTTATTGCATTCGTAGGTCTAAACGGCATAAGAACAAAGTCGTTCATTTAGATAGATTAGCTACTTTTTATCAGAGGTAATTCCTTTCGAATCAATTTTCGTCCGGAGCGCGGAGCCCGAAAAATTTCAATTCATTTAATTAGTTTTTAGGTTTTTAAGAAAAAGATATTTTTCTTTTGTTGTTACTTTCAGCTACTTCTCCGGGAAGATGGTGCCGAACAACATCAGGCGAAGGTATTAGCTGAAAGAAGACCGCCTTGCCCACGGTTTTTGATCGTGGTTTTTCCGTGGGACTTAGGGCAAATGCCAAGGCGGGGACTGGGGAGTTTTGCGAGACGCAGGGTCCACGAAAGCTTCCCCCTTCAGTCCGAAGACTCTCAAGAGGACAGCGCTGGTAGCAGAAGGAAAGCCGACGTTGAAAAGGTTCACACGTGGAAAAAAGCGTTTTTGGATTGAGGGAAGAAACGAAGCTCGTTAACTCGCAGCTTAGCTCGAGGTAGAGCAGGAAGCGTTTCAAGTTCCCGGAAATCTAAGAGAAAGAAACTGCTTGCAACTTTTCTCTAGTTGTCGGGACGACAACTTAAGAAGAGGGGGACAATGTTACGCCCGTGCTGGACACTGAGTAGAGAAGTCGCGGAAAACTGTGAAGCGCGCTCCTTGACAACGGGAGTTTGTTGATGGATTTATTGATTTTCTGTCTGGCGGATTTTTGGAATCCGCACGCGTTCTGTTTTACGAGCTTGGAATAAACGTATTTTTTAAGTTCTTTTGAGTTCTCTTTCCTTTCGCGAGTTCTGCGAAATACGTGCGCGAGTGTGGAGTGCGCGATAGTGTTACGGCGCGGCGGCGAGCTTACTCGACGAGCGTAACAATATGTATATATATCTATATATATTCACTAAACAATTAATTTTTTACTCTTTAATTACTTAATTTATTTTTAATTTATTTTTAAGAATAGCAATTTAATAACATTGAACATCTTAATAAATACAATAAAAATAATAAATTTATTAATTAAAATTTTTTTTTCAAAAATTTTGACGTTAAAGGTGCTGCCTTGTTCTGCCCCTGAAAAATAAAATAATATATAAATCTTTTATTATTTATTATTATTATTTATTATTATATTGTTGCACTCCGGCGGCTTTCGCACGCTCTTTAGGCACTCCCGCACTCGGTCGCGCGTTCACTCGCGATCCGCGGAATAAGGGAACACAGATTTAAGGAACGAAAGAATGGTTTATTGCGTATGTTACAATCATAGAACGAAAACCGAAACGTCCGCTCGAGTTTCAGTCCAAAGGAAATCTGACAGCCGGGCTGTATCAACAACGCATAGCAACGCCCGTTGCTAAAGACGCTCCGCGGCGGAAAATACCGGGCGAAGCTGCGAACTCAACGCGAATGCAACACTGCCCCCCCCCCGTTCTTCAAATTGTCGTCCCGACAATCCGGAAGGGCAGTCTCCAGGAGGTTCCACTTTCTTCGTAGGCTCCAGGGCTCTGAAGCGTTCCTCGCCCTATCCCGAGCTGTTGCCTCAGGATGTCGGGCTTCGCCTCCACTGGGCCCAACCTGCCAACAAGGACTTTCCGTCCTCCTTCCGTTCCTCGCTGTTACAGAAGGCTCTCTTTCTTCTCGGCTTTACAGGAACTCCATTAAAATTTCTCCTTGATGTAGTTTTCTTCACCGCCGCATTCTCCTTCCGCCGCAAACGCCGTCTCACGGAAGTCTTCGGACAAGGGGGGAGGAAAATAACTTTTTGAGAACCCATCGTCTCTAACCAAAATAACTATTCGAATTAGGACTCCCCTAGTCCCTGCCTAGGCATTCGCCCAAGTCCCTCGGAAAAACCTCAGTTGCAAAAACCGAGGGAGAGGCAGTCTTCTTTTAACCGTGGTCTCAAGATAATAATGAAGACTCCACTCTGTGTCCTTCAAGATCTTCCAATGAAGAAACGAAGATTCTCCCTTAAACACAAAAAAAAAATACACGCAGTAACACATATCAACTTCAAAGAAAAACTTTTTTAACGATAAATCGGGTTCCGATTTCTTTAACTACTTCCTACCGTTCTCTCATAAAAAAGGGCTAACCTATCTGCATGTACTACCCTTTTTTTATGTCTGGGGGATTTTCGAATGCAAAATACTACATCACTTAATTTTCTTACAATTAGAAAAGGGCCTCCCAACTACTCTGTAATTTTGGGGCCTTCCCCTTTTCTCTTCGAGGATTATAAAACCACACTTTCTGATTTTCTCGAAAAAGGTCCTTCCTGGCTCCACGATCATACCAGGTTTTTACTCTAAAAGATTTAATTTCTAACCTATCTCTGACTACCGAATCCCCTCCAACTTTTCCCTCAGTCTTTTGATAAAATCGCCCTCTGACTTAGGGCTCTCCTCCCAAAGTCCCGGAGGACTGCCTTGTAATAAATCTAAAGGCAACTTAAGATTCCGGGCACAATACATCTCCGCAGGAGTTACGCCCGTGGTCTCATGTTTTGAAGATTTGTAAGCCAAAAGGAATAAGGGAATCCACTTATCCCAATCTCTTTGAATTTTGTTGATTTTGGCTAAGTAGTTTGTAATCGTCTGGTGTTGTCTCTCAATCTGCCCATCAGACTGCAAATGCAACGCGGTAGTCCTGGTTTTTTTAATTCTGAGAAGTCCCATCATTTCTGCAAAAAGTCTCGATTCAAAATTTCTTCCTTGATCCGTATGAACTTCCGAGGGGACTCCATATCTAGAAATAAACTGATTAACAAAAGTCTCAGCTACTATCCTTGCTCTCATATTTCTTAAGGGAAAAGCCTCTACCCACTTAGTAAAACAGTCTACAATGACCAACAGATACTTATTTCCAGACTTGGTCAATGGAAGAGGATCGAGTATGTCCATCTGGACCCTTTCAAAAGGGATCCCGACATTATAGATTTGCAACGGGGACTTTCCTTTTCCCGACGGTCCCTTTTTCGAAACGCAGATCTCACAAGATCTACACCAATCTTCTACATCTCTTTTACAAGTGGCCCAATAAAATCGCTTACGAACTTTTTCAAGGGTCTTGTTAACTCCAAAATGTCCCCCCGATGAAGAATCGTGTGCCTCCTCTAAAATCTGTTTAATTTGTTTTTGTGGAAAAATGAGTTGATAAATCCTGGATTTAAGATTAGGAGCCTCCCATATCTTATAAAGAACTTCACTCTTCAAGACGATAGCGTCCCAATAGGAAAGGTAAATTTGAGCAGAAACGTCTCCTGTCGAAATCTCAGATCGTGACGGCCGTACCCCCGTTTCCTTGCCTCGGTAAATAGCCGCGATATTTTGATCCTCTAGCTGGTCTTTTTTTCATTCATCCAAAGTTTCTCCCAGCAAAATTATTCGCGCGACTGTCTTCTCCGATTCAACTGGGTTCCTCTTCTATACTCTAACACAAAACGCACAGCCGTCAATCTCGCACTGACGCCTGGATAATCCATCGGCGTTTCCATGCGAAAGGCCTTTACGATAAATTATCTAAAAATCATATTGTTGGAGTCTCTCCAACCAGCGAGCTAATTGTCTCTCTAAGTCCTTGAAGGACATAAGCCATTTAAGGGAAGCGTGGTCCGAACGAATGACAAATTTACGCCCCAAAAGGTAATGTCGAAAAGATTTAACCAAGTCGACTATCGCTAACAACTCACGACGAGTAACACAGTAATTTTTTTCCGTTTTACTCAGCACACGGCTGAAGTACGCGATAACCTTTTCTAACCCTTCTTGCCTCTGGGATAACACCGCACCAACCCCGATGTTAGAAGCGTCAGTGTCTAACACAAACTCACCCTCCCCCCTCTCGAAAGAAAGTACGGGAGAGGATGTTAACACCCGCTTTAAATTCTCAAAAGAGTTTTGACACTCCTCCCGCCAAACAAATTTCACTTGATTTCCGGTAAGCGCAAAGAGGGGCTTCGCTAAAGAAACCTTTAATGAATTTCCGATAATAAGAGCAGAAACCGAGAAAACTACGTAATTGCCTTTTGGAATGAGGAACCGGCCATTTCTTTACAGCGGAAATCTTATCAGGGTCTGTAGCAATGCCCTCTGTAGAAATCACATGTCCCAAGTATTTAACCTTCCTTTCAAAAAGTACAAATTTTTTAGGATTGATTTTTAAGTTAGCTAAACGTAATCGAGAAAATACTTCTTTTAAATTCCTTAACATTTCCTTGAAATTTTTTCCAAAAATGATAACATCGTCTAAATAGGATAAACAAATCTTTGATAAAAGTTTCCGAAGAACTTTTTTCATCAATTGTTCAAATGTGGCAGGGGCGTTACAAAGACCAAATGGCATTACGACAAACTGCCATAACCCGTTCCCGATAGAAAAGGCCGTCTTCTCGCGATCTTCCGGGCGGATCTTAATTTGCCAGTATCCGCTTTTCAAATCCAAAGTAGAGAACCAACTATTGCCCGATAATTGGTCCAGGATGTCGTCAATCTTGGACAAGGGAAAAGAATCCTTTTCAGTAACCTCGTTAACTTTCCGAAAGTCAATACAGAAACGGATTGAACCATCTTTCTTTTTGACAAGAACGACTGAAGAAACCCAAGGGCTATGCGACTCCTCAATAACGTCCTGTTTCTTCATTTCTTCAATAATTCTGTCGACTTCCTCTCGCATTCGAAAAGGAACACGTCGGGGAGTTTGTTTAATTGGAGTAGGATT